GGCTGTCTCTAGGGCAGAACCGTCAGGGCAGAGGAGCTTGGCAGAGGAAAGCTGCACGTCTCATGGCACCTGGGCAGCAGAGAGGACTGTAAGAGAGCCAGAGCGGAAGGGGCCAGGGACCAGACACAGCCCGCAAGGTTGCACCCCGGGGACGGTAGGTCCTCAAGACTCTCCCAGGTGCCTGTCACACCAATCGAGTGGACAGATTAACTATCACAACTACAAATGAGTGCAAATCACAGGATGACAGTCACACCAGACTGAACCAGGAAACAGCCAAGAGAGGCTCCGTGGAAGAGGCTCAGTGACAGAAGTTCTCCGCTTAAACCAAAGAAAACTGTGCTTAAAATGGAGCGTCCTGTAAAAGGACAGGTATGTATCACAGCAACAGAATGTTTGCTTGAAGGGAACAAATGACACAAACAATTAGACTAATAGAAAAATAAAGCAATTATTAACTATTGGAAAATAAACAGTTTTACAAAAAGAGTAAGTCAATACACTAAATGGTTCTGCACTGAACAGTGCATTTGCAGTCATAAGAATATAAACATTGACAAAGCAATAAAGTTAAATACAGTCAGAAAATAGTGCAGTAAAATAATAGTATCATTCACTGTCAACAAGAAATACAGCAGATTTGAAAACTGAAAAATCAAGAATTAGCAATATACGCCAGGGACAGCTGCACATGCCTAAAATCCCAGCACTTGTGAGACTGAGGCAGGGGGATCTTAAGTTTGATGACAACCTGGGCTACACAGTTCAAGACCAGCCTGTGGTGCACAGTGTCTCAAAAAAACAAAGAATTGGCAATATAAACATATGTGACTGACTAAGTAACAGCCCTCCAGGATGACCATGTTCTAATAAACCTCTGAACACTGCTCTCCACAGCACAGAAGCCTGCAGATCTGCATACGTATTGTGGCCCAGGACATCCAGGTGGTGTCCCTATGAGTGGAAGGCAGAGAGCGATTTCACTAGAGAGAAGAGGATGTGATGATGGAAGCAAAAATTGGAACGCTATGCCTTCAAGATGCAAGAAGGCTACACAAAACACAACACAGCTAGAAGATGAAAAAACAAAAAAGCTGATTTTTCCCAGAACTTCCAAAAGGAACCAGTCCTGCTAACGCCTTGACTTTAGCCCAGTGAAACTGATTTTGGACTTCTGCCTCCCAGAACTGTAGGGAATAAAAAGCTGTTTTAAGTCATTACATTTGTGGTTACAGCGGCAACAGGATTCTAGTAAGGCATCCCATCCATTATTGAGTGCAGGAAGAGCCCTAAGATCTGGAATAGTGTGGGGAGAATGACGCTAAACACTCCTGCACTGCAGTACTATCTGAATTCCTAAAACTTTGAATTTACTATTTTCACTAAAATATAAATATTACTCCCTCTACTCCAGTTAACTGGAGACAACTCAATGATACCATGGTTAATCTGGCCTTACACAAAACGAATTTCTGATCACTAAATGAAATTATCCTAGATTATCTAAGTGGGTCCAATATAATCACAAGGGTCTCTACAGGGAAGAGGAAAGAAGAGTGATATAATAAAGACACAGTGGCCACTACCAGCTCTGACGATAAGAAGCCACGAGCCAAGAAATGTACACAGCCTCAAGGAGCTGGGGGGCGGGGGACGGGAGGAGTGGAGGGGGATGGGAAGACTTCTCTAGAATGTCCAGAAGGAACGCAGCCTTACCAAAGCCTTGATTTTAGCCATTTTGGACATCTGACCTCCTGAACCATCAACACAATAAATGAGTTATTTTAAGCCACTAATTTGTAACAGTATGGTTTATCTGCAATAAGAAACAAAGATATGCTAGAATAAGGTCAGTGTTTACCTGGTATTATTTTTGTTGTTGTTGCTGGGTTTTTTTCTGTCTTTTTGAGACAGGATCTCGCTATGCAGTTCTGGCTGACCTTGAGCTCACTTTGTAGCCCAGGCTGGTCTTGAACTCACAACGATCCTCCTGCCTCAGCCTCTCGAATGCTGGGATTACAGGCGCGCACCACCACACCCAGTTACCTGGTATTATTAAAGAAGAACATGCCTTACCACACTGGATACAAGCACTTCTAATCCTCTTACTTGGCAGTAAATACTGGCACTTTAATGCCATTTGCCTCCAGACACCCTCATGTAAGCTTCTTGTGGCTGCTATAACAAATTAGCACACAAAGGACGTCTAACAGAAACTTACTCTTTAACAGTGCTGAAGGCAGAAGGCCAAGATCAATCATTAGCAAACGTACATGCCGCCTGGAGACCCTAGAGCAAACCTGCTTGCCCCCTGCAGCTTGTCCTCCAGCTCCTGGGAACTGCTGGCTTTGGCAACATTTCAATTTGTGCCTCAGTCTTTACATCCCCTTTCTCCTCTGTACCTCTGTCCTCTTCTATGTACATTTCTGTCTTTTCCTTGTAAAGACACTGACTGGGTTTATGGACTGCCCAAGAAGCCACGAGCCAAGAAATGTACACAGCCTCAAGAAGCTGGGGGGCGGGGGCTGGTGGAGGGGGACGGGAAGACTTCTCCAGACCACCTCCTTCTACCCCAAACAACTCCTTAACTCCTTAAATTCGCCTTGCTCACACCTCCTCCGAAGACCTTTAACTGTATTTTGGGAACCATATATAGTACCAGTCTCAGGTTTCAGGGTTTAGGACATGGACGTATTTGGGGGCCACAATCCAACTCAATACAAGTTACACCCATCACTATATTGAGTCCATGAACAAGGACTCAGTCCCTCTGTACGTAGCTCTGGGATGAGTAAAGACTGATGACAGAAAGAATCCCTGTCCCGAAGGGACTGATAACTAGCAAGACGGGAAGGTAAGAGCCCAGCACCAGCTTCGGAAGAGTACATGTGAAGGGGCAGCTAAGCGCATTCGGAAACGGTACACCCCTTTCCCTCACCCCCAGTCCGCTCCTGGGAACTGGAACTCTTGAGAGCCTTCCTCAAGGACACCTCCAGAAAGTGTATGGTCTACCAGCTAACATCAATTTAATCTCCTAAGATGCCATGACAGATAAGGGTCCTAGTTCACTAACTGTCTACCTTTAGGAACAGAGATGATTAAGCTGACAGCTAAGGAGTACTCAAGAAAAAAGTTAAAAGGAGGAAGTATAGAAAAATTCAATTACAACAGAAAATTCAGGTATTAAGATGGAGAAAGAGCAAACATATTCAGTCTTCTTTACCACAGGCAGTAACAAACTATGATTAAGAAGGATTCTGACATTCTTTAATTCAGATTTCTTATTTTGTCATATGACCAAAGTATTTCTGCACCAGAAATAAGAGAGCTCTTACAATCAGTTATACAGCTTCAAAGAAACAAACCCTCCTTATAGGACACAAAAACGTAAGCATAAAATACTACTATCACTATATTACATGACAGCTCTTTTATAAAAGCTGTCAACGTCCGAAAGCTAAAATCTGCAAGTTATCTAAGAATTGGTCACTTACATAATACTATAGGAACTAAAAAAACCTCTAGGTAAAGCCTAGGTCTTTCCCCTCAATTTTTTCAAATGAACTCCCTCTCTACATTTTACTTATTATTGGTCATGCATACGCCCCCCATAACTGTACATACTTTTCAAAAATACTCCTTATCATATATGTCCCATTAAGATATTTTGTACATAAATTCCTTATACTCAAAGTAAAAGCAGCAGTGTCTCCTAGTGGCCAATTTATGACAGGTATATTTTTCCTATCAGTTCTTATATTTTCATAAATAATTTCTACAATTCTAAGAATCGCATAGATGTTACAGTATTGCAGAAAAAAATACCAAAAGGATATTTAACTTTAACATGCGCTGTTGGCACTTGATGACAGCAAAAACTGTAATGTGTGCTCTTGCAGTCAACTACGAGCCTTTAAGACATAAAACACACTATTTAACATTATTGTAAGTTTGCTGCAGTTAGTCCCCTCTGGGACTCCTACTGCAGTTAATTCTCTCTTATGAGGTGTTAAGAAAGTGAAAACTTAAACCAGTGTTTAGAGATGGACCTTATAGAAGGTGATTACAATTAGACATGGTCATTAGCCTGCCTGTGACTGAACACTGCTAACTCTGTAACAGGACAAAGACCAGAGACCATCGCTAAGTTTATGGTATATATTAACACATCAATAGAAAGCTAGTATTTCACCCTAAGTCAAATGATACATCCTCAGCTCCTAATCCCCTTTTTTTTCTGCAAAATGCATTACCTTTGAACAAACTTTAAAATGTACTTATTTTGTTTATAAATATAAATTCTTTCAATAAATATAAACTCCATAAAAAAGATTATCAATTTTGTTCAGTTACCTAGAGCTTGGTAAATGACTAAATACTCAAATATTTCCTGAATAAACATTCAATACCATTATAAATAAATTTCTACAAAGAATTATGTGCTAAGGATGATGCTGATGGTGATAAAAATGTCATTAATCTTAAAGAAAAACTAGATATAATCAGTAGTTGTTTGTATTCAATGACATTGAGATTTATAGCTATGCATTAATCATTTTCAAAACACCTTTATTAGTCATTCTGAATATTCCTTTTCTTCCCACTTATAACAGTTTCTTTTTGCTGTTAGTTTTTTGGTTTTTACTGTTTTTTATGATGCAATGGATCAAGGCCTTACACACACTAGGAGAACACTCTACCACTGAGCTACATCCTTAGCCTATGGCTTTTTAAGTACATAATTCTGGTAACTGAAGAGATGTTTCAAACCTCTATTAAGTATGCAATTTTTTAAAAAAATTCTTAAGTGGAATATCCTATCGTAACTATAAATTCAGACAATAATTAATATACAGAAAGCATTTCCTTCCAGACATTTCAAAAAATTTCCAAGCTTGAAACATAAAAAAAAAAGTTGGCAATTATCAACAAATGTCTTATACTATTATCTTTCATCAAAGAGTAAAACAACAGACTTTGATGTTAAGAAAGTTATTTACCTGTTCCAGGGGTAGAAGTTGTAACTCCAATAAGAGGACTCTGCATTACTGAAATGTTTGTCTATGTGACAATAGAAGAAAGTGTTAAGTTAAAAATTTCATGTTCTAACCATAACATAAACACAGGAGTAATTATTAAAAGGCTTTGTTCAATATATAACTTAATTTCTATTGGGCTCTAGAGTTGCCCCTAATAAGCTCACAGTCCCAAAAGTACTCTCACTTTCAGCTGAGCAGTACAAACCCAAGATACGCTAACACCTTTAGCTTATTATTTGTTTAAAATAAGAAGTTGTACTGGGTTTAACAAAACACTACTTTTTACAGAAATTATCACGGCAGCTATTCGGTTTTAGTTCCTAATGTATGATATTTGAAATAATGAAGATAATGGTGATTCTTCCAGTCACCAAATTCAGACAGGAAAAAGGAAAGTTGCAAAACTTTATTTTTAAACATTTACAATGAAATATTACAGATTCAAATATACAAAGGAAAGCATCCCCTACTTCTACCAATAAAAAGGTAAAAAGCTGGAAAATTATTATAGCCCTTTTCAATATAAGGAAATTAAAGATTAAACACTCTTCCCAAAAAACTGTATAACAAAAAAATAAAAAGAAACTCACTACAAATACACAGTTTTTTCAAAACCGATTCTGATTAAATTAAGAAAACTGAAACCTAGATATGTCCAGTAACCACAACTAAATGTCAAGAGAATGTTAGGAGAGACACACTTTATTGTTGAATTTTTGATGCCAACTTCTTTCATGACCAGAAACTAAAGCAAAATTTCAGAGGCATAACTATTTCTGGCTCTAATCTAGCAACAACAACAAAGCAACCCTATGAATACTAAAAGTTCACTGAAAGATGCTTTTTTAATATTCTTAAGCTCTCAAACAATTTCACCAGATTTGGTTTAAGGGAAAGCATAAAACTTGTCTCCAAAGCCTAGTTTCATCTGTAATAAAATGAAGCTCTCATAAAAGCCACATCAGAGTTTCACAGTGAGGACTAGCAGTTGTAACACCTCCTTGTTGCTATTAAGATACAGAATCTCTGCCTTGAATATAACTCACAACATCAAGATACAGAATCTCTGCCTTGAATATAACTCACAACTGAAAAGAACACTGTCATAAAACCTACACCAATCAAAACGCAGCACAACCACCAGATCACCGACATCAGGAGACACTAAAACAATCAGCTCATAAATATGCAGGAGGCAGCAGTTTTAGTGAAATAAGTAAGCACTGAATATAGCTATAAAAAGATACTGGTCTTGCCAGGCATGGTAACATGTGCCTATAACCCCAGCACTTTGGGAGGCTGAGGTACAGGAATCACAAGTTCAAGGCCAGCTTGGGTGGCTAAGTGAGATGGTGTCTCAGAATAAAAAATATTTTAAAAAGAGGGAAGGGGCTGGTGCCTGGGAATGTAGCTCAGAGTAAGGGCCGCAGTTCAATCTCCGGTAACACACACACACGCACACGCACACACACAAATACTAGTCTTATATTAATACAAATATTCATAAAACATCTGAAACATTACCAAGTGCAGTATATCTGAATAAAACCCTTAATTTTCATTTGCTCTTTCACACAATTATGTATAAATATTGAACTTAACTAAATGGAATAACTTAAGCCATAATTATATTTTATGTGTACAGGGGCTGGGGATTTAGCTCAGCGGCAAAGCGCCTGCCTGGCAAGCGCAAGGTCGTGAGTTCGGTTCCCGGTACCGGAGAAAAACCAAAAAAAAAAAAAAAAATATATATATATTTTATGTGTACAATAAGTAGGTTGGAGGCACAAGTAGGTGGTTAAGCCATGCCTATAAAAACCAGAGAATCACCTATATAGAAAACAACCTAAAGTTCCATTATATTTTTAAGTACATTTCATAGTAAAAAGAATTTAAGTAGATTCCATGACAAATGCACTTACTGCTTATTCTACACAATAGTTATACAGAATAAACGTTAGAGAAATGTTGCAAATTATTGATCTTTAAGATCACCTAAGAACAATGACTATGGACCACAAAGTTATATATATATGTATGTATATATATATCACCTGTCTTCTTGAAGTTAAAGGTGTTGATCCAAGGCCTGGGCTAGAAATGTCATCATATATACTTCTAACTGGTGGAGCTCCACTTTTATCTTTATGAGCTGGTACAACTGGTTGGGGTGGTGCCCCACCTACAATACACAAAAAATACAGTCCAACAAGCAAACAAAGGAATGTCATTTTCCTAGTAAGATTTTTAGGCTTTGCATTTTTGAAATACTGACAAACTCAGGCCTATATGGGCTAATTCCAGCTTGAACATGGACAGCAGTCCCCCGGGACTTCTATCTCAGATGCTTAAAGTGGAACAGGATTACACAGGTCTGACCAGCTCCAAGGTGGGGCCAGTGCTGCTGACCCCAGACTACACTTTGAATAAAAGATTTCAGAGTATGTAGTTAACAGAAACTTCAGCTTCTAGGAAACACATGTAACTTTCACTTTCTCTACAAACTGCTCAACATTTCACACATGATCCCTTAGCAAGACACAGTGGCCCATACCTGGAGACCCAGTTACTTAAAGGGTAAAGGTGGGTGGGTGGCTTCGATCCTCACCAGAGCAACACAGCAAGACAGTGGCTCAAAAAACAAACCAGGGCTAGGGGTGTAGCTCAGTGGTAGAGCACTTGCCCAGAATGGGCAAGAACTGGGTTCAAACCCTAGTACCAGGAAAAAATCAAATTGCTTTATAGATACTGTACTGTTTACTTTTTTCAGTTAACAAATGTGCTGAGTATGAATACTGTACCATTACTCTTAAATCCTATGACATATATAGATATGTTTCATGCAATTTACCTACCAGCAAGTAAAGGTGACCTCATTTCCATTACTCCTACTGAAGAGCCACTAATTGAGCGAGGTTGTGGAGTCACGGGAGCTGGCAGATCCCCCATTAAGAACCCAGGTAAAAACTGGGCATTTGCCCCTGGCTTCGGAGATGTGGGTGAACCAAGCATCATTGGTTCAGAACCTAAATAAATCAAAATAAAACAAGACTTTTTCATTTACAGTAACAAAAAGATGCAAAACTCTAGCACAAATATTGAGACTGCAATCAAAATTCTTAAATATTACAGAAATGTAACTGAACTTATTTTGAAAGACAAAAATCATTTCTAAGAAAATGTAAAATCTTGTATTCATATTAATCTTTGATAGCTGCTTTTATTTCACTAGTTTAAAAAATCAACACTTTTAAATTGAATAAGTTTATTGTCTAAAAAATGTCTCTATTACAAATAGAAACCCTTTCCACTGCTGGGTCAGTTTCTAGTATACAGCAACTAGAAAGGTGAATGCACTAGTTTTATACACAAAGTCTTAGCAAGCCAGAAACAATAAGCTCAGCTTGCTAAATGTCCCAATTCTTCCTACCCACATACAAAAGCAGTACATCATTTTTGTGAGAAAACTATAATAATGCACACATTAAACAACTTATGAAATAACAGTGGTAATTAGCAGCTTAACAAGTATACCAAAAAGAATGGAAAATTATTTCTTTGGATTTTTTTTTTAATGTAGGCTCTCCCTAAGTTAATTAGATTGGTCTCAAACTTAAGTTTCTTCTGCCTCAACCTCCTGCATACCTGGAATTAAGGGCATAGACCACCATCCTTGGCTGGATCATCTTTTTAAATCATTAGTTACTAAGTTAGAAATACTATAATCAACACAAGTTTCATATATATAAAAATAATTTAAAGAGAACTAATACCTCTAATTATCCATTCAAAATTAATATTTATAATTCCCATTATGAAGATAAGAAAGCTATAACACTAATTTCAGAGAAAATACCACAGTAAGGAAAACACAAGCTATGTGGATTGAAGTTCTCTAAGAAAGACATAAAGATAATATCTATTCACAGCTTTTATAAGAAGAATAGCAAGTACAGCCTTAACCTGATAGCTAAAATATTAGGTGCTCAATAAATTCTAAGTATTATTTTTCTACTGGTATCTTATAAAAGGATAACCTTAGTGATCAATGCAATGCAGAATTTGCAATTTCTGGTTAGGAAAATTTAATCTTTCTACAAGGTGAAAAGCCTGAGAATGAGTCATGGGACGCAAAAAGATCAAAGGTTTGCCACAGGCCTATAACACTCAGGAGGCTAAGGCAGAAAGATTCAAAAGTTCTAGGCCAGCCAGGGGTACACAGGAAGACAGTCACAAGAAAAAAAAAAATGGTATGCAATTTAAATAGTTTTTATTAACTACTATATTAGTTAACTTCTAAGTAATCACAATAAATTTTTTGTTACTCAAACCTGCTAATTTTTTTTAAATTAAGAAAAAAAAAAACCCTGATCTTAATTTTGTCTCATTACTCCTTATAGATCTAGATATTAACTAACAAGACAAGGGTAAAAAGTAAACTCAGATCTAGATATTAACTAACAACACAAGGGTAAAAAGTAAACTCAGATCTAGATATTAACTAACAACACAAGGGTAAAAAGTAAACAAGACAAGGGTAAAAGTAAACTCAGGAAAAGGAAAGGAAAGTAAGGTGTGAAGAACTATAATTACATTGTTATTTTGTAAAGTGCTAGTTATTATGTTATAGGGTACTACCACATACTTCCAAAAAATATATGCTAAACAAAAGTCTAAACAAAATATTTTGAAGAGATATTTAAAAAACCACAGTAGCAACATACAAAGTTTTTGGTAATACCACACTATTTTCAGACTCCCATTCCCCAAAGGGGGACAAAAAAAAATTATGGCAAGTATAAGAATTAGGTCAAGAAAAGTTCTGGTATATCTAGGCACATATCTGATACAGCAGAAAGCACCAGAGAGTGCTTCCTCCAGACTCCTGCCTGTAACCATCCCTCAGGACTAAATTTCACTTAAAGAGGAAGTTTAAACACAGATCCTGCATGTGGTACACTTCAACTCACACTCTGAGCTTCTAAGCAACAAGTACAGGTGGTACAGTGTCTTATACAACTAGCACAATTTGCTGAAGCAACCCCTTGATTTAACACACCAATGGGTGCTAAGAAAATGTTTTATTGGGGCTGGGGATTTAGCTCAGCGGCAAAGCGCCTGCCTGGCAAGCGCAAGGTCGTGAGTTTGGTTCCCGGTACCGGAGAAAAACCAAAAAAAAAAAAAAAAAAAGAAAATGTTTTATCAAAAGGTACCTAGAATATCTGCAATACAGGAGCTTGAACAATTAATATCAGCTAATGAGAAATTTACAGATAGGCAATAAACAAAGAGGATTTTTGTAACCCCAACAAATATGCACTCCACAATGTCTGCTGAACAGAAAACTCTGGAATGGAAAAGTGTTTTGAACTCTAAAATACACAAAAATAAATATCTAGGCCAATATCTGTATAGAAGCTTTAATGTAGCAGAATATCTGCATCATTAGATTTTTTATGACATGCTCAAGTAGTTCAAAAGTTACTCTATTCTCAAGAAGAATTTTACACAAAAATATGGCAAGCATTGCATGCCCTTCATATCCAAAAAGCTGATTCTTCAAAATAAACACTAGGCTCACTCTTTAGCAAACTCTAAGTCATAAACTAATATTCAGATCTCTATGATAACAGATGTGGGTTTTTTTTTTTGTTCTAAAATTTTTGATGGTTCTCATAAGCCATAAAACTCAGCAGGAAAATAAAGGAATCATAATGTTAACTAGTTAGGTTTTTTTCATTGATATCAGACATTCCTCATTCAACAATTATGTCATTAAATGAACTGGTCTAAATGAAGAATTGTACATGATATGTACATTACACTATTTAGAATAAAGAAATGGCCAAAGGAAATTCCAACTTGATGACTCTGCTTTTATTTGCAAAATTTTTACATGAAGTACTGCAATGTATAGCAGAACATAAAACTATCTTAATGTATAATATAGTACAATCAGCAAAAATCACAGTACTCTATAAACAAGTTATACTGTAGCAAAAGACATTGAAGCTCTATAACAATATGTACAGAACTGTGTCAAAAAAAAAAAGAGGGTCATAAATCTGAGCAGCAGGTCCTAAATTCAAATAGTATGTCTCAGTAATAAGTCCTAACAGGCGTTAAATGGGTAGATTGTTAAACAGGACTATCTGTATTAGACATCATATTATCAAAATAGTTCAATGAAAATGATTCCTTTTCCTTAAGAAGACATGCTCTCCAGTAACCCTTAAAATAAAACACAGCAGCCCCAACAAATCATCAAATCAGCTGAGTTCAGCAATACTGATCCCTTATACATCAGAAAAGGCAGAGATGAAAATTATTCAGAAAACCCAGGATATCTTATGATCTAACATTGATATAGAAAGTGCTCATCAATAATCAGGTTTGCAAAACAAATACAATCCAGATATGATGTTCAGCAAAACAATAAGGCCCCTATACCTGTATTTCCTCAAATGCCCTTTCCTAGCGTCTTAGCAGCTTCCATGAATCCATCAAGGCTACATTAATCACACAGTTGATACTGCTGGAAGATGCGCTTTGAACAAGCAGTTTTGGCTGTCATGAAGGAGTTTCTGCAGATCGTTGCAAGGGACCAATGAAACTAAGATACTACTAGGAAGATATTACAGAACGATGAACCTGCTTGACTCTAAAAATCATTGGAAATGTCAAATATTCTTAACAGTGAAACTGGTATTAATGAAGCCATTGCTCTGTCCACCTCTGTAGTAAATACGCTGGAGGAAAGACATGCAAAGTATGTAATAAAGGTGCTTGACATCCAGAGTGTAAGACAAAAACTAAAGACATAAAACAAGCACAGAGCCAAGAATAACAGTGATAATTGTTCAATTATTTTCCTGTGGTTAGAAAGTGTATATATAACCCTTGAGAAAATATGTGCGCTCATATGATATGAGACATATTTATGTATCAAAAAGTTTCGGTAGGCGTGGTGGCGCACGCCTGTGATCCCAGCACTCCGGAGGTTGAGGCAGGAGGATCGCTGCGAGTTCAGACCAGCCTGGCTTACAAAGTGAGCTCAAGGCCAGCCTGAACTGCAGAGCAAGACCCTGTCTCAAAAAGACCAAAAAAAAAAAAAAAAGTTGCAAAGGTAACATCACTTCTAAAGAGTTTGTTTATATGAGAATTTATAACTCCAAATGAAATCATTCTTATTATCACCCGAGGAACTGTTGGAAGCGGGACGTGAGCCCAATAGAAATACTGCACTGGGGCTGGGGATTTAGCTCAGCGGCGCAGCACCTGCCTGGTAAGCGCAAGATTGAGAGTTCGATTCCTGGTACTGGAGAAAAACCAAAAAAAAAGAAATACTGCACTGATGAATTTTTCTGGCCCTTTGGCACAGATGTTCTGCCTGTATATGTGATCAACAGGTCCCATAAGACCGTGCTCCAAATCACTCCCTTCTGGATCAAAACAAGCAAACCATATACTTTTTGGATATTGGGACAAAAAAGCAACCTCAGGTAGCTTAGTTTTCCCCAGGTAGCTTATTTTTCCTCAGGATCAGATATTAGACAAATAATTCATATTTTGAACACATCTGTCTTTTCATGAATGCTGTTTTTCTTTGCACAATACTTAGTGAATGTTCCTAAAATACAATAGGCTACAGGCATTCTTCCTTTAAAGACCAAGTTCTCTTCCTGCTACTAGGTCGTTAAAAGAATAGGTCTCTAAACGAAGAATGGTACGTAATTTGTACATGACAATATCCAGAACAATGACATGGTTAAACGGTTTTCCAAATTGATGACTTTGTTTTTATTTGCGTAACTCTTACATGCAGTACTGTAATGTATAACAGAATATAAAACTACGGTACTGTACAAGGTAATCAGCAGAAAGTACACTACTGTATAAATGCGGTGTACTGTCCCGGTCCAAGAAAAAGACACTGAGGCTCTATCAACAAGACGTATAAAACTGTACAAGAAAAAAAAAAAAGACGTCTGGGTGGGAGTATCGTTAAGTTGGATCAGAGCGCCTCGGTCATAAATCCGAACAGTCATTAAACAGATGAGTCGTTAAATGAAGAATATCTCTATGTCAACGAGACTTCCCAATAACTAATCATATCGTGATCAATACGAAAAAACCTATAATACAGCCACTTTCCCAAGAAAAAGGTGATGGGGAGGTGGATACAAACTCTAGCCCGTAGCCGGGCCACTGCTCAGTGGTTACCTCCACTGGGTAGATTCTATTGTCATGCGATTCACGCTCCAGTCACAGACTCTTCTCCAACGCCCGCGACAGGGAGTGAAAACAAGAACCAGAAGCCTCGGGGACCAACTAGCAGGGGGCTGGAAGCGCACCCCGGGACCCTGCGCACCCACGTGGACCCGAGTCGGGCTCTGCCCGGGCGCTTCCGGGAACGCGGTGCCCAGCCCCCGGCTCGGGCGCGGTGGGCAGCCCCAGGCACCCGCCTGCCTTGTGGGGTCAGGGCTGGGGGACACACAGCACGCGGACCGGGCTTTCCTCACCCTCCCAGGGTCTGTTGCTTCGCAGAGCCTCGAGCTGGGACAGACTAGGAACTTGGGGAGACCCTGGGACTTCCCCTCCGCAACTGAAATCAGCATCCAAGAGACAGCTGACTGATACCTTCCAGTCTCGCCCGGCTCCCGGCCTACAGCGTGGATGGCAGCGACAGCAAGGAATAGCAGTTTTTAACTCACCCAACGTGGGCGCCTGGGGTTCCACAGCAAAGGTTGCCATCGCGACGGCGGCAGCTACTCCTATCCCCAAACGTTCCCAATTTTCAAAAATGGCGGAAACTCTGTTCACGGCCAGGGGCGCGCTGCCTAACGGGTTGCGTAACTTCCGGACATGCGCCGTACTGACGTGAGGGCGCTGGAGTCATTTTGGAATAGGGGAAAGGTCTCTATTCGTTCTCGGAATCCTGCGAGGAAAAGCTTTCCCTGAGACACGGTGAATCAGTGTGGGAAATGTTGTTCAGAGTATATGTTTTCATCACGCTGTGAACCTCCTAATTTGATAGTGCTTGAGTCTCACCGCGCAAATTCCTGCTTCATAATTAACAGGAGTTTCCCCACTGCTCTGTTGTCAGGGGCTTTTTTGGTAACACCTGGAAAAGTAGGCTTGGGAAACAGTGGGTTTTTCCTTCCAGTGTGAGTTTCTGCGCTTTATGCGAGAAGCTCCTTTCTCAAAATATATTTTCTACCATTTATATGCTGTTTCTTTTAAAGTTTGTTATGTGGGCACAATTTTACTTTAAAGCATACCTTGTATGCTGTTTTACTGGGTATCAAAAGAATATAGCTAATGAACGTAAATTAGTGGGGAGCAATTAACAGCTGTGCACCCACCGCGCCGCGGAATCTTGGGCGCACCTGCCTATGCCATTCTAGTCGTCCTTCCCCAAACCTTCCTGCTTTTCTTCAAGGAATATTCATCTATTGGTCACACAAACATTGTGTGTATGTGCGTGTAAAAAATATGTTGTTTAGTTTTACTAACTTAAATAATGTACTGTGTGTTGTATATTGTGGATGGGATGTTCTCTAGTTAAATCCCTTCCTCTTCCCAACCCCCACCACACCCTACCCCACCGTACCCCACCCTACCGCACCCTACCCCTTCCTCCTCAGTACTAGGGATTGGACCCAGGGCCTTCGCACCCAGCTACATTCCCCAGCCATTTTATTTCATTTTATCTTTAATTCTTTTTTATATGATCTGTCTTTTATTTTGCTCTTTGTATTTTGGGTTTCTCATAGAAGAGAAACCGTGTGAGATTTAAGTTTGTATTTTTAATTTATTTCACTTAACACTGTGGTCTCAAGGTGCATCCATTTTCCTACAGATGATTCTAGTTTATTTTTTGAGACAGGGTCTAAGTGGTCAGATGGCCCAGGCTGGGCTTGAACTTGCTATCCTCCTGCCTCAGCCCTCAAGAGTGCTGGGATTTTAGATGTAGGCCATTATTTCCTACTTTTATAAGAACATAAACCCTATTTAGGATTCACTCAGATAATCCAGAATAATCCTATTTTAATATTCAGTTGAAGTAATTTAGTAATCACATCTGCAAAGTGTTTTCTGCCACATAAGGTACATTTACAGGTTTCAGAGTTTAAGGTATGGCTATCTGTGGGGACTATTATTCAGCCCATCACCTATAGCTTGTTTAGAATTAAGATATCAAGAAAGAGTCCTCAAATATTTTTTATTATACCAGGCGTGGTGGCGCACGCCTGTAATCCCAGCACTCAGGAGGCTGAGGCAGGAGGATTGTTGCAAGTTCAAGACCAGCCTGGACTAAAAAGTGAGCTCAAGGCCAGCCTGAACTGCACAGTGAGACCCTGTCTCAAAAAGACAAAGAAAAAAAAAACTTTTTGATTATGAACTATGATCTACCCAAACAAAAGAACACTATTCATCTGTTAAGAAGAATGAAATAGATTTGATATTTTTATATGCATGTATTGACCTAGAAAGATCTATATGATCAATGTAAAAGACATAATTTGAATTAATATATGTATTTATATAGCATAACTAATTACTTTTTTTGTTTGGTACCAGGAATTGAACTCAGGACCTTGTGCTTGCCAGGCAGGCACTGTGCCACTGAGCTATATTCCCATCTTGCTTAATTATATTTGTAACCAAAATGTATATTTGGGTACAGATGAAAAAGGGGTTTAAATAAAGGGAAAAGTTGGAAAAGAATTGCACCAAACTATTAACAGGAGAGAGTAGGTATTTTATAAATAGAAGAATTTAAGGTCTTTTAGCTTATTTTATATAATTTTGTGATCATAACTTGCAGGTGCCTCAGAAATATGAGAGAAGCTCTCCTGTTGGAAAATTTAAAATCAGCAAGAGTAAAACTACCCTGGCTCATATCCTTGCCCCCTAACCTGTCCTCTAGCATCCTCCATGTGACCCCTGGAATGGAGGTGGGAAACCTGGGGCTATAGAAAGCTTGACCAGAAAATTTATTTTCATCTTTGTCTAAAGTCAAACTAATTTTGAGAAAGTCAGTGTGCTGTATTGACAACTCGTGGTCAACTTGTAGCACCCAGCTGAACTGATTCAGCATGGCGCTGGGTGTGGAAGGCCCACCTGAGGATTGTTGCCAGCACGTAAAAGGAGAGCTGGAGAGGAAGAAGGGGGCTGTTGGTTCTCCTGGAGGAGCTCATCATGCTGGCTTTCCTGATATGAACTTGGCTATATGATCATTGGAGAAGCTCAGGACCTTGTTGTCACTGAGGATGGCTGTGGTACCTTTTGGGGAAGCTCTGGTTCTTACTTTGAGTGTCATTTCCTGGCTCTGGAGGGGAAGATGGTACACTATTCAAAATCCTGGAGAAGCTTATTGTGCTGTCTTTCCTGATATGGTCTCAGCTGTTCTCATCACTGGAGGAGCTCAGGACCTAGTTGTTGCTGAGGCTGGCTGTGGTACCCCTCAGGGGAGCTCTGGTTCTTACTTTGAGTGTTGATTCCTGGATCTAGTGCAGACCCCTTAGCCTGCTAGCACAGACTTTCTAGCTTCCACCACTGACCTTTTGGCCTTCCCAGCACAGATCTGTGAAACAAGCCTCCATGAGACATTGTCGTGGGCTCTGGGCCTCCAGTTGGACTCGTGGGAGGCATTGTTATGGGCTCTAGGTCTCATGCAGGACATTACCATGGCATCCAGGGCCTCAGCTGGATTCTTTTGGTCTTTAGTGTATGGAGAGATTTTCTACATTCTTTTGTATTTGACGCTTTGGGGTGACTATTATAATTCTATAAATTGTCCCTGTATTAAATTGTTTCCCTTGCAAACCCTCACTACAACAGTCAGAAATATATAAAGTCTCAAAGTGTATTTTCAATAAATTTGGTATATCTACAACCTGTGTCTATAATATACACTGATTATTCATCAAATGTTTATAAATGTCAACGCCTATGCAGTATTTCTAAATATAAAGTCACCTTGTTGCAATGAGAAGCTCAGTCTACTCTATTAAAAAAGCAAAAACATGTTTAAAACTTAAAGTGAAGAAAGAAGATATCCACCTTTAGTAAGACTTCAGGAAATAGATGGTTTGTCGTCTTCAGACAGAGAGCAACGCAAGGAGCATTTTACCAGTCCTGCTTCCATCATCTCAGCCTTGGGCAGGTCAGGCGGCTCAGGTGGCCATTCACTTGGACTGTGATGTCACACAGTGCACGCAGACAAAGCATGACTTCACAGGCCCAAGGACTGGGGGTCTTCAAAAGAGCTTCAGGATGTTTTAAAATGTGGTGGTCACCTCTGGAAAAATACAAAACAATTGTTATGTGCATTATCTGACCTCTTTGAACAATCACTGAAGCTATGTCTTTAAAAAACAAAAAAATTTTACATGTGAAAATTTTTGAGGGTGTGCGACAATTTCTTGATAGGAAAAAATTGACATAAAAAAGCCAAACATGGGGAAAAACTTAGGTCTGCTGATTCACCTGTTATCTTTTATAATCAATTAAACAATTTAGGGCTGGGGATTTAGCTTAATGGCACAGTACCTGCCTGGCAAGCACAAGGTCGTGGGTTTGATTCCTGGTATTGGAAGAAAAAACAAACACACTTTAGTAAAAAATATACCCTCAAAACTTACACAACATTCATGTGTAATTTTATTTTCTGTCTTCTATTTGCACTATCAGGTAGGGTTATTTAATATTTGAAAGTCTGGAGAAAGCTTAGAATAAACAAAATAGACAAATGGAGGGGATTAATTTTAGAGTTGCCTGGAATTTGCCTTGAAATAATCTAAGGAGGAAAGGCAGAAAGGGTAGAAGGATACTGGCTTACATTGCTTACCCTCCCTCATCTACTCTCCGTAAGTTAATAAATGGTGCCAAATAATTATGATATTGTCTATAATTCTGTATATTTGATATTTTCCTTCAATCTTTTTTTAAAAATGAGCTTAAATTCTAGGACATTCAAAGGTCATATTCTGTGTTCACTTATGACACAAAAATCAATGAAAAACCATTCATTGCTTGATAAATATCTTCATTTAGAGAACTAGTATTTTTAGCCGGGCATGGTGGCACATGCCTGTAATCCCAGCACTCGGGAGGCTGAGGCAGGAGGATCACTGTGAGTTCAAGACCAGCCTGGGCTACAAAGTGAGTTCAAGGCCAGCCTGAACTGCATAGCAAGACCCTCTCTCAAAAAAAAAAAAGAGAGAGAGAGAACTAGTATTTTGCTGAAGACAGGTAAAAATCTTGACTTTAAATTCCTAATACTAGCCAGGTATGGTGCACATCTGTAATCCCAGCACTCAGAAGGTTGAGGCAGGAGGATTGCCACAAATTCAAGGTTAGCTTGGGCTACATAGTGAGTTCAGAGTTCGACAGAGCAAGACCTATCTCCAAAATATATAAATAAACAAGCAAACAAATACCTAATAGTAATGTGATACTAACAACTCTAAGACATTGTTTTCATCTGAATTATGGAAAGAACAGCATAAACCTCATTATAATATACTGACTTATTCACTTTTAGCCTAACAGTCTTATCTTTCATTCATCATATTACATATCATTTAATAAACTAATTTGGCTTATTTCTCCATTAATCTAGACATATCTTTCTAAGTTCAATTATGACATCCATGTGTCTAAAACCAAGACTTTTTCCATCTTTATCTTACCCTCTTAAAGAAATAAAGATAGCAATTGGAGAAATTATTACATTTGTTATTTTATTAAAATATATCAGCACCTAGAACAATAAGGAATATAAGTATGTATACAAAATAAGTAAAATAAGTTTTAGATGAAATAGAAAAGTATAACTATAAGTAATTTTTAAAAAGTATACCAATAGAAATAAGCCAGAAATCTGCTGACTATAAATGTTAGTATATATATTGCAAAACTATAAATCTTCAAAATCTCCTGGTTTACAATGCTAAATAACTATGAGGTGATTAATTAATCCTTCAGACAGGAAAACCAACTAGTCACCTTGAAATAAATCATCATGCCAGATTTCTGTTAAGTACATTGTTGTTTCCGTTATAAAGGTAGTAATTCATTGAGTTAATACAGTAGTTGATGCTGTAATACTCTGATTTGTACTTGGGACTTTCAAGAATATTTACAAAAAAACTTTTCAGCAGGACTTTCTATTAACAGTTGAACAATGTGAGTTACTAATAATCACACTGACAAATTCAGAAGGTTTCTTCACCACTTCTATAAGTATCAATCAGAATCAAAGTAAATTTCTTCCACCCAGGAGGCTGTACGGCTGGGGTGCGCCAGCCTTTTCGGGACCAGCCCCCAGCCGCGCAGGCACCTGGAAAGGCAGGCAGCAGGTGCCCAGGAAGTGGCATGGAAACACACACTGGCCCTCAGTCCAGCCGACGCCACACATTTGAGAACCACCATGCCACAGAGAAGCACCAACACAATAGACCTGCCTGGAGATGTGGGTGAACCATCCCGACATGGAGAAATCTCTGGGAAAACATGCCACATGGTGGGTCACTCTTGGCCCTGCCCTTGAGAGCCAGAAAGGTCTGGAGTCAGCAGAGGAGCAGCTGCTGAACAAGGACTCAGAGAACACGAGAGTACTGACACCCAGTGACTGAGAGGTCAAGCTGACTGGGGACATGAGAACCATTCGGGAGCTGGAAACCAGGAGGACCTTGCGCAATACCTGGGGAGACCCCCTGGAGGCCATTCTTCCCCTAACTGTACAGGCTGGGGTGGAGGAGTGTGTGGAGATCCTGAGAGGTCTGCACTGAGACTTCATGGATTACATGGGTGCCCAATATTCAGATTCTGACGAACCACCTTCATGGAGAAGGTACATGTTCAGGTTACCTGCCTGGGACACTTTGCACCTGATGGTGCTGAGACTGACTAGCAGGCTGAGGACTTCATCCACATGTTCCTGCCGCCTGTGTTGATGGTTGGGGAGAGGACACTAAGTGGTTGTGGGATCCCAATGCACAGGGAGGTTGGAGAGAACACCCCTCTGCTTTCTTAGACAAGAGGCATTGATAAAGCTTACTTCCCTGGATCCCAGTTCAGTAGAGGGACAAACTATTCTTAAAGATAAGTTTATTACTCAGTCAGCCCCAAATAGTAGAAAAAAGCTACAAAAAATGGCTTTCACCCCAGATAGCTCAAGATGTTAGTAAGAATTGCCTCCTCGGTATTTTATAGCCGTGAGGAGGAGGAGGCCAAGGAGAGAAAACAAAGAGACCAAGAAAAAACAGCTGCCTTTGTTGCAGCACTAAGAGAAACAGACCCTAAGTCTGATTCCCGGGGCCCCAAGAAGAACTCATCAACTACATTCATCCGCTGCCGCTGTCAAAAGCCAGGCCACCTCAAGAGGGACTGCCCTAAGAAGCCCCCTGGGCCATGCCCTGACTGTAAAGGTGACCACTGGAGGCTGGACTGCCCTCTGAAGCAAAGGCCCAGGAGTTCAGACCCCTCCTACCAGCTGGTCCAACAGGAATGAAGGGGCCCAAGGAATACTCTGCCTTCTCCCTCTGGTCAGACCATTATCTCTAAGGAGGAGCCTCATGTAATCATGACTATAGAAGAAAAAGTAAACAGCCTATTGCTGGACACTGATGCTAGTCTCTTGGTCCCTCTTTTCAATCCTGGCCTTCCTTCCAGCCATCACAACTCAGTGAAAGGAGTCACTGATGAGGAGGTAATCCACTATTTTTCACACCCCTTAGGCTGTAACTACTTGTTGGATCTTTCTTGCATATCTTTGTTTTCCTGAGAAACCACTTTGAAGATACCAACATGTATTACAGCAGCCATCGGTAATTTTCATAACTCTGTAATATTTCTATTGTTCCTATGCTATTTTGTAAATGGATGTATGTTTATTACTATGTGTTTCCAACAACAACCATTGAGAATAGTCAATGATTATTTAATTGATCACTCATGTATAGCTCTGTTTTCTCTAGAAACCACTTTGAAGAAACCAAAGTATAGTACAACAACCATTGATAATTTCCTACCATTTTTGTCTGTAACTCACTATTACTTGTCTAATTGTTTTCCTGAGAAACTATCTTGAAGATACCAATAGGTAAAATAACAACCATTGATAATGTCCTACGACTTTGTCTGTAATTTGGTAAATCCCCCTATTACAATGTTATCCTTCTTTTACTCTTTAAAATAAAAAAAAGCAGAGTAAATTTCTTAAAGGTGTACACACACACACACACACATACACACACACTGTATCATATACTTCAATCAAGGAAACGGAATAAGGGAAGAAAAAGTTAAACTGCAATTAAAATGTTAAAAACTATATGCCATTTCCTCTGAAATTATTGTCTTTGAGATAGTATATTGGTGTAAATTTTGTCCAAAAAAATTTTTTGGACTTTAAAAAATATACATATATAAATACTTCATGGGTATTCAATTACCATTAAATGTAATTACTAACAATATTAAAGCATAAAGTTAGCAAGACATTTAAAGAAAAAAATTTTCTGAGACAGGGTCTCATTTAGCTCTGGTTTGCCTTGGACTCACTGTGTAGCCCAGGCTGGCCTTAAACTCACGGTGATCTTCCCACCTCACCCTCCCAAGTTTTGGGATTATAGGCATGTGCCACCATGCCTGGGCAACATTTTAAAATTTTTAACTCCAATAAATAGAATTGCATATGTTCCAGTGTTTTTGCTCTACTCACCTTTTGCAAGTTTATAGGAAGGCCCTTCATTTCTTTTCAATGTTTAAAAAGCAATAATACTTTCATTTTTATTTCCCCTTTAAAAATGGTAGGAAAATCTATTTTAAAACAACAGTAAAAAAAACTCCATGAAATATTTTTTCACCTCCCACAAAACAGACTCATTTTGATATATATGATATTTTAAAAATTTATACTACACCAGATAGAGGATCAAAATGATGAAATTCCTTCTTAAAAATAATGAGGTATGACAGAGTGACTTACTCATCTCTGCAGGAAAGTGCAGTGAACATACTGTATCTGAGACACATCATCTCACATCCTACCCCTAATTTAAAAGACTACACTCCAACCCTGATCTATTTTTAGATACAGCAAACTATCATTTCACATTGACAAAATTAATGCTCAAAGCATTTTTGGAGATGATACCCAAGAAACACCTTCAAACAGTAACCAGATCACTACATACAACAACTAAGCATACAAACTATAGACTATGAACAAATTGTATCAAAGGTTCATGTGACATTTAGGTGAAAAGTAAATAGCATTCAGTGAAAGAAAATACACTTAAATCAATGCTTTCGTGCGAATGGAGAAGGCTCAACCAGAGACCCTCAGCAATACTGATTGTGAAGATACCATATATGAGTCTCTTATTTAAGGGGTTCTGCCTAGCTTCGTTGGCTTCTATCAGCTTACTATTGGTTAATTACCTCTGGGCTGCTTCTTCAGGGAAGTGAAGAGCTAACAGCATTACAGGCGATGGCATCCTGTCAGACTGTGAGCCATCTCCAGACATAGCTTGTATCTATCACTTCTAGTTTTTGCACATAACAGTCTAAGAAAGCCTACTTTCCTAAATGCACAGATATGTACACTTTCCAACTTAGGCATTCAGTACTTAAGGAGAGTCAGAACTTTTAAAACTAAAATCTATCTGGTAATCACATTTTGTAAGACATCAAAGATTTCTTGAAAACTAAATTCTGTCTTAATTACTAAAACAGGATAATTTATACTGAAGAAAAAAATTTAAAATATTGAATTTACAATGTACAGAGTTCAATCAATCATGCTAATATGGAAACATTAAAGAAAAAGAAATATGCCAAGAATGTATTTAAAGTTTATTTCAAAACTATAAGTTTTCTTGCCTTAAAAATATGTTGCCCAGTGAAATGCTGAACTATAAAACAGGTCACTGAACAAATTACATCTAGGAAATGACCTTTCAGAATAAAACATTTTCCCACAGATCCAAAGGGACCAAAAAATTATGACAGAATACTAGGCATCCAACATAAAAAATACAACATGTAAGAGAAGAAAAATAACACCTTATTAAAGAACAAGAAGCTCATAATAATGTAAGAAAGAGCATGTATACAAATATTTTTAAAATAAAAACAAATGCAGGCAATAGAATTAAATCTTTAATAATGGAAAGTAGGCATGTTTTCATAAGCGGATTAAAAATTTTTGTGAATACTGTTACCATTATGTAAATATTATATAAACCTTTAGATGCTGGTGCTCATTTGGGAGTTTGAAGGTATCCATTTTAATTTTAAATATATTCTTTACAAAAAAAAGTTACCTCTCTCTGAAATAGTACATCAAATAGTACTTCAAGTTTTTTCCTGTGTGAAAACACGCTGGAATAGAGAAGTACTGAAAGAAAAATACTTAAGACACTTCACTGATTTAGTCTTTCCATAGATTTTAAATGTAAACCTTTTTCTTCTACAGAAATCAACAATCAGTAATACATTGTTCTTTTTCCTTAGCAACTCAAAGAAACAAACATTATAACAACAAAGAAAAAGTCATATAATTTAAAGATTTATTTAATATACTAGTTCAGAACAATCAAATTGACCTCCATTTTCACTGGTGAAAAACAAAAGAAAAGGAATTAAAAACAGGAAAGACAGCTACAGAGACCAATTCAAAATGACATTTGTCCATCCTCTGCAGCTTGTGAATTGTCCTTTTCCAATTCCGGTAGTTTGTCCCACTTATTGCTTTCTTTGAGCTCTTGATATGTACGAAGCTGTTCCATGAAGCCAGAATTTGGACATATGGAAGGCCTTGCATTTTTCACCAAAGTAAAAGCACTGCTAAATGAGATTTCTTCTGAATTCATCAGGAAGCCTATTACAATTGCAGGAGCCCTGGAAACTCCTGCATTACAATGAACAAGAACCACACCACCCTGCAATAAAACCAAACGAAAGTCTGCATTATTCATCGGCAAGGTTATTCAATTGATTACACATTCTTATATTACATAAAATTATTAAGCAAACATTCTATCTTGTCAACTTACGTGATCTCATTTATCAAAATGTAACGCGTTGCAAGCAATGAGTGGAAAATCAATCAGTTAATCCGTTAATGAATATCTACTTCTCTGCCCAATGCCCAGGACTGAAATGCTATGATGATGTGTTTAGAATTCTGAAACATTATCTTTTATTAAACTAATCTGGTAAAGTACAAAAGCCTAGTAATTTAGTAACCGTATGTGTATAAATAAGAGAAAAACCATAGAGACTATATATGGAAACATGTAGAAAATAAACAAAAACTAAACATAAAGCCTGGGACATTGCAGGCAGGCGCTTGCGCCACTGAGCTATATCCCTGGCCCCTGGGACATCGCAGTACACACGGTATTCCCATTAACAACAACAAAAAAAAATGTCACTGCCTTATATATCTGTATGTAAAATGATCGGCAAAGAATAAAATTTTCTACTGTTGGACATTATTTTATTCTTGAAAGAAGGAAGTACCTGAGAACATTTCAACTTATGGGAAAATAAAATGGTGACACAAATAGCTTATTACAATGTGAAGTGGAAAACATAATCAGACACCACTATGAGGTCAATAAATAAAAACGTTTCAGGTAACTTGCAAATGATACTTTCTTTTCAAGTAAAAAGAGACACAGGGCAAAGCCAATAGTGGTAGGGGTAATACTGCATTAAAAATAAATGTGATAGATCTGATGCAAGAGCACTGATACACCTTGGCCTATCTCAGGCTTTAAAAGTTAATGATCTAAATGAAATGTAGTGAACTCTGAGTACACCCCACAGAGCTAGACATTTTAGTCACTTCATTTCCTGATTCTTCATTTGGTGCAAGAAGGAAAGCTCGGAACAGGGGAAGGAAAAAAAAATTAGTGAACATCCTCTACCCAAAGGACATAAAACTAGCAATACTATTATTAACACTATTATAGCAATACTATTGTCAACACTCTTATAGCGATACTGTTTTACTTTTGCACGGCAATTTTCTCACATTCGTGTATCTGTTGCAAAATCCCTTAATGTTGTAACACTTTTGCATCTTTTTTCAAGAATGATTAACAACAAAATTAGATATTTTGAAAATCCTTATACAAAAAAGACAAGTTCAATTCTTTTTTCATGGACTATGTGTGATTCATTTTCAAACTTTAACTGTTTCTGCACAAAGAAAGCAAAACACAGTCATTATATCAACCCAGAATGTTTCTCACTTTGTAGCAAGAGCTCAGTTTTATGACCTAAAATGTTTAAAAATTATATAATAGTAACTCAAAAATTATCAGTGAACATCACTTAGATCAAAACAAAGTAAACAGGTATTCTAAAAAAGCTTGCAATAGTGAGCTTAATAAGGAAGGGATACCTTTCAAGGTTATTTTAAATATTTCTTGGCTATTTATTTCTAAATTTTGGTAGCTGGAATCTCTCAATGAATGAAGTAAAGCTCAGACGCAACTTTCTTACCTTGCTGGCGTTTGGAACAAAGTAGACTATACTTTTAGTAGCACCGGTCACTCTGATGGCACTTCTGGTTACCCACACTATCCACAAGAGCACAGAGCAATGTAAACATGGTACCGTGGTTTGGATATGACTTGAATGTGTCACCTAAAGGTTTATGTGTTAGAAGCTTGGCCTCACTGTGACAATTCTGGAACGTCTTTGACCTCTAAGAGGGAGGGCCTTGCGGGAGGTGTTCTGTGGTCAAGGTTATGCCTTTGGCAGGGGTTAATGGAATTTTCCTGAGAGCAGATTACACAAAGGCGCTTCTTTGGGCTCTGGCTTCCTTTTGATGATGTGATCTCTTCCCCCGCCATCCTGACATCAAGCACCACCGAAGCCCTCACCGAAGCCCTCTTTTCTTTACAAATAGCCAAACCTTAAGTGTTACATTAGAAAATGGATTAATACGCATAGCAAAATCAAAACTTGATGAATTCAGGTATCTATTTACACTTAAACTGTTTCTCTAATGAAGCTTGACTTACATTGAACAAAAAAACTGGATATAGCTTCTATGTCTCATAGAGGAAAATTAGGTAAATAAGTCATAGAAATACTATGCAGAAATCAGAATAGTTTGATATGATTAAGTGTAAAGAGTAGAACTAAAGAAGAGGAATCACATAGTGCTATTTAAAACATATATATGACATTCTATATAATATGAATAAATTAACAATGATAAAAGTCTATTTCAAAATATAACAGTATTTATATCTAAGTGTAATTTTTTTCTACTAGTATGGATTGAATCTAGGGTCTTTACACTGTGTTATACCCCCAGTTTCTTTTTATTTTTGTTTTTTGAGACAGGGTCTCCCTAAGTCACTAAATTTCCCAGGCTGAGCTCAAACTTGCAATCCCCTTGCCTCAGCCTCACAGAGAATTAAGTTATAGGAATCCCTCCCCCCATAGACTAAGTTAATCTTAACTTTTATTTGTATTTTCCATTTTTTTCTATAATGAAGATAGATTATTTATACAATAATTTCAAATATAACATTACATAAAATAAAAAGTAAATATACAATCTGAAAATGTTAAATATATGTTTTAATCTTAATAGGTAAAATCTTTTTTTTTTTTTTTGTCCTTTTGAGACAGGGTCTCACTATGCAGTTCAGGCTGGCCTTGAACTCATTTTGTAGCCCAGGCTGGCCTTGAACTCACAGTGATCCTCCTGCCTCAGCCTCCCAAGTGCTGGATTGCAGGTATGAGACACCATGCCTGGCAATAAGTAAAATCTTTTGCATATAAAAAGAGGGGCCATATAGGTTTAAAATGTTCTCTGTACAGATTATAATCACTGCTTCTCCCTCTTATATTTCTGTCCCTTAAGGCATACTCTACAAATTCTGCATGACATGGAGACAGTGAGAGGACAGAGAGACCGAACAAGTGCGGGGAAAATGAGAAAACACACAGGAAAAAGGGAAGATACATCATTTCATAACTGTGTGTCAAAAGAAAAAAATAAGAAACTTGGGCCTAGAAAAGTGGTTTTGACATATGTAATTCACTAAGTAGATTTAATAATATATTCAAATATGATAAAACTATGATGAGATTTCTTCTAGAAAAAAAAGAAAAAATTCAAGAATGCTATTGCTAAAATTAAATATATATTAATCTAAGGAATAAAAACTTTTCAGGCCAAGGAAATAATGGCTGAGGTTAGAATGACAGTATAAAACACAGAGCTGGAGAAGTCAGAGCATATTGTATACTATGCTTTTTTTTTTTTGGTACCAGGAATTGAACTCAGGACCTTGTGCTTGCCAGGCAGGTGCTTATGCCACTGAGCTATATCCCCAGCCTTCAGAACATACTGTAGAATTCCAATACATCCTGTATCCTAGGAGACTCTTTGGATGTTCTGGCACCATCATCTAATGGATGCTTGGTTTGTGCCATCTTGTCTACCACCTCCATGGCCAACTCCTTCCTTTCAGTCCATTCAGTGTGGTTAGTCTAAGGCCTGATCCTTACTCTGTGGGCTCCACACAGCATAGAAAGGCATAGCCTGATCTGTAGATTCTCTTGCTCCTTCTGACCTTTTGGATGAAATCTCACACCAGAGAGCCCTCCACCTGAAACTGTGAAGCTGCTGCTCATGGAGTGGAATGTTATAACCCGGAACCGAGGGGTGAGTTGCCTCCAAGTTGGCAAACTGTGATCAGTGAGAAACTGTGGAGGACAGCCAGGACAGCTCCCTTGCAAGAAGAGCATCTGTCTCCATTTTGGCTAAACCTGGCCCTATTTCCGTGTACTGATATGGCTAGGGCATTTCCTTATCTGCTCCACTGGCTTTAAGCAACGCAAATGGGTCTAGCAAGGTACTGATGTGTAGTCCTTAAAGCAAAGGACAGGTCAGTGATGCCCCGGCTGTAGCTCCCAAGTAGTATGTGTGAGCTAGGGGAGAGACACTGTCGGCTGAGACTGAGGCTAAGAGGATTTAGCTCAGCGGCAAAGTGCCTGCCTGGCAAGCGCAAGGTCGTGAGTTCGGTTCCCGGTACCGGAGAAAAACCAAAAAAAAAAAAGAAGCCATGACATCTCCGGGCATGAAGACTAGACGTCAACATCGAAGCATTGACCCCTAAACATGAGATGTTTACTCAATCTGTGATATGCAGACTACTCTTTCTTCGTGTCTCTCTTTCTCTCTGCATATTACAGAGGTGCTATCAGCCCGCCCCTGGCACTCAAGTACTTCCCGCCTTTCTCTCAGTCACTCATCCCTGAACCACTCCCCTCCTCACGACTGAATAAAACCCAGGTTCAGTCTGGGTGGGGCCTTTATTCCAGTTAGCCATTATTCTACCTGGACTTAGGACCCTCTTGGCTCCCACCATTATAGATACATATTTGTGTCTTTATTCGCACCATGGGTTGCACTGGAAGTGGTAGATTGGAATTAATTTGCTAGAGTTCCAATAACTTTTCCTGGGATTACAAATGTGGACTCCTCCAGACCACAAGGTCCAGAAGGGCTTCCTATAAGAAATGTGCTGTTAGAGCCAGGTGGATAAGGTACTTGTGCTTTGTATTACCTGTCAGAGATAGCTTCCCACCCAGTTATTTCCTTGTTAGTTCATTGTCAAACTATACTCAGCAAGGTAAACACATCATCTTGCATTGTTTCTCATCCTACAGTGAATCATTTTCCTTTCTTCTCACACTCACTGCTTAGGGATTTTACCTCTCAAATTAAGCACCACCTCATAATCCTTGCCTCAAGCCATTTTTTAAGAAATTTAAACTAAAGGCTTGGAATATAGCTCAGTGTCAGAGCATTTGCCTAGGAAAGCAAGCAAGCAAGCAAGCAAGAAAAAACAGAGCAAACTAAGAATCATTCTAATTATTTACTGGTCCAAATTAAGGCACTTTTTATTTAAAGATTTTTTTAATTCCAAAGCTCATTTTTTGTGGGTTTTCTTTTTTGGCGGGGGGGTCTTTTTGAGACAGGGTCTCGCTATGTAGCTCACGCTGGCCTTGAGCTCACTTTGTAGCCCAGGCTAGTCTCAAACTCGCAATGATCCTCCTGCCTCAGCCTCCTGAGTGCTGGGATTACAGGCGTGTGCCACCACCCCCAGCCCAAAGCTTATTAAAATACTCAATTTCTTGCTTTTCTTTGTATATATTATTTCCCTGTCCAATTTTTACAACACATACATCCCTTCTGATTTTAATATGAATATGGATGATACATACACTTTACCATCTAAGGCGTAGTCTTCACCTCCTTTGAGAAGCAGCTAACAGAAACATGTCATTTTCATTTTTAACACTATTAGCCGGCACAATGGAATGTTACAATTTATGCCTATAAAATTGTTTAGAAGAGAACAGAATGGCCAGATTCTGACTTTGAATTAGAAAACCTCTTCTTTTGCTTCCATCCAAATATCTGCTTTTAAGTAAGGATTAAGAACAGGAGAATTGATTAGCTTTATTATTTTCTGCATAGTCTACTGAGAAGGGACTCAGAGCTATGCTATGCATGTAGAACACTAATTCGATGTTATTAGAGGAAAATAAATAAGAGAGAAAGGAAAGGGGGAGGAGAAAGGAGAGAAAGTTTAAAAGGAAACCACTGGATCACAACTGACTTAAATTTCTAATCCTATCATTGGTGTCCCAGAGGAGTTATTTCTCCTTAATGCTTCTCCTTACCTATTCATTTATCTAAAACAGTATCTGTAATAATTATTTGCTGACCCAAAATGCTGTCATTTCCAGGTATAATCTTTGATAATACTGAACCTAGAAGCCCTGGCTATCAGAAGGGTGAGCTGGATCTTACATCAAAAATAATATCAGGAGGGCTGGGGATTTAGCTCAGTGGCACAGTGCCTGCCTGGCAAGCACAAGGTCATGAGTTCGATCCCTGGTACCAGAAAAAAAAAAAAAAAAAAGAAAGAAAATATAATCAGGAGGCTGAGGCAGGAGGATCACCATGAGTTTAAGGCCAGCCTACACTACATAACAAGACTCTGTGTCAAAAAAAAAAAATTATATTATCTATTGGTCTTCTTCTTTTTCTTTTCTTTTCTTTTCTTTTTTTTTCTTTTTTTTTTTTTGGAGACAGGGTCTTTCTGTGTAGTGCAGGGTGGCCTTGAACTCACTATGTAGCCCAGCCTGGCCTCTAACTTACAACAATCCTCCTGCCTCATCTTCCTAAGCACTGGGATTATATTCGTGCATCACCACGCTCAGCTCCTATTGATCTTCTAAAATCTCAAAAGCAATCGTTTCTGATTAGCATTTTCATACCATTTTAGTAAAGTCACAAAACTAAGGGATAATTCCTCATTAACCTTTTCATATAATCTCAGTAAAGCAAAGCACACTTACTCCTTAGAAAGCCTTAAAATTCTGTTAAAAATGCATATGTACATAATCCCCACCTCAGCCAATAAAATGAATGCATATTAATCATCATAAATACACTAAAATGGGGGCTGGGGATTTAGCTCAGCGGCAAAGCACCTGCCTGGAAAGTGCAAGGTCGTGAGTTCGGTTCCTGGTACCGGAGAAAAACCAAAACCAAAAATAAATAAATAAATAAATAAATACACTAACATGACCAGAGTAGTCTCTACCATGTAGTCCACCAGATTACTATGCATATTACTCAGACACCAGATTGTTATAAGACCTTAAATGAAATCTAACTACATTTTTACAGAGGAAAATTCAAAGTTTTTTTTTTTTTGGTACTGGAAATTGCACTCATGACCTCATGCTTGCCAGGCTGGCAGTGTGCCACTGAGCTATACCCACAGCTACACAGGAGAGCAGAGAATTTTATCTCCTAACATTTCTCTATAATCCACAGAATAAGAAATTAAATTAAGATGAAAAGTAAATATCCTTTTGAAAAAAGCAATTTAAAACCAAAGAATTAATAGATTACGTTGGAAGGAAACTTGCCTCCATAATATCTCTTGAAAGATTCAGTGCAGGGGCTGGGGATTTAGCTCAGTGGCACAGCGCCTGCCTCACAAGTGCAAGGTTATGAGTTCGATTCCCGGGACCAGGGGGAAAAAAAAAAAAAAAAAAAAAGAAAAACCAAAGGTTCAGTACAAAAAAAGATAAAGATGGAGGACAGGACCCATACTTTCAAATTTCTGTTTTTCAAAAACTGTAGAACAAAATACACTTACCTTCATTTTTGCTTGTTCAATAAATTCAAAACATTCTGGAAAGTAAGACAGGATACTGGTCTCGGGCAGATCCAATATAGAAATACTCTTATATGTAAACTCGTTGGGGAAAGCATTTTCAACTCCATAAGCAACACTGAGAATGTGAGTCACCTTAAACAGGAAGAAAAAACAATGACTTCTTAAAAGTCGCATGAATTAGATTCTCTAAAACCGAATGTGATGTTACATCTACGACGCAATGAAAAATGTCGGTGTGAGTCACTCGAATACTTCCGGGGAGCCTTCCTGCCTCATCCCTCAGCAGTGCTCCTTGTGGACACTCTCCTTGCTCCGCCCACCCGGAGTTTGCGCACTGGAAATCCATCAGGGCAGGGACCTTGCTGAACTTGCCATTATAAGTAAACCCCTGAGTGAACGATGAGTGTAGCAGTCAATACTTAAAGTATCTGTCACGTTCATCAGTGAATAGCCACATAAAATCTTAAGCAGGGAAAGTATGTCAGTAGGGCACAACTCGCCTTTCAGTAATTACTTCCCTATTTTCCTTTGTATTTCTTACCAGTGAAATGGCTCTCAAATGTAGCTTACAGTTACCCTGGTGAGCTTTAAAAAACTACCAATGCCACAGGGCCTCAGTCCCAGAGAGCCTAATGAATTAGTCTGGCTGAAAAGCGGGAGTGGGGTCATGAAAGATTTTCTTCCCAGTGCTATACTCCATGTGTTTGGGGCCCTTTCCCAATGGAAAGGCCATTCAGAGAATCCAAAGGCTCAATGGAGCTGAAAACCAGATCGTTCTTTCTCGTCACCACAATACTTCTCACTGTGTTTATTCTCTTTTCTTAGCATAGGTCTTGTGTTTTGCCTGATCCCAGAATTTCCATGCATTTCCACGTATCTCAGTGTCCATCCAGCCCTGCCACCCTTCCAGGTATGGCGCTGGCTGTGTCCCATCCCTGCCTCCTGCAGAGCTGACTGGATTTGGGTAGACAGCTAGAGCAACATTGCTCTGATCAACCCTAGAAATTTTAAAAACAGGTTTGAGACGCAGATAGCATGATCCACAAACTTGACATCTATTTCCCACAGCATGCTCAGGGAAACGGAACAAGTTCTGCTACCCAGTAGGATGCGTGGAGCATGCGAGCGGCAGGCTGGGGCACAGCAGGCATCTTAGAAGACCTCTCAGGGTCTGGCTCCAGCCTCTAAGGGGCCAAGGCCACTCCCTGCCCTGGGGCCCAGCAAGCTCCCTGCGTAGTTACACACTTTCTCTCTCCTTGCTCAGTCTGCTCACATTGGTTACTGTGGCTCATAACCAAAAGATGAGTGACTAAGGCACTCGTAGACAGGGAGCTATCAGCCACTTACTAGCTTAACTGACCTGTGGGAGAAAAACAATAATAACAACCAAAAAACCACTTCAAATGTCTATATGAGGTCCAGGGATGTAGCTCAGCGGTACAGAGCCTGCCTGGCAAGGGTAAGGCCCTGAGTTCGATTCCCGGTATGAAAAAAATCTGCTTGAGAAAGGCTCTTTGAAAAGAACTGTTTGGAGAAACTTGGAAGGAAGGAGAATATTTGTATCTTTAGAAAATAAAGGCTGAAATACCTTTCTGCTTTCCCCAGTGAAGTTTTATCTACACTATCTCTTGCTCCTCTTCAGTGTACTCGACTCTGATGATGTGATTCTGCCTTTACTTAGACATCTTATTTATACCATCTTCCTATCCTCTATAATACTTCTGTGTTTGCTTTGCCTTCACAAGCATATCTGTAGTGCAAAAAAGGTCAGAAATGAGGCCATACTATTTGAAGAGTTTATTACTGCCCTGTATACCTTCCCTATAAATTACAGGACTGTGGAGACAAGAGCCTTGGGGAAACACACTGAAAGGTAAGACTATGTTGCGAATACTATAGATTTTTTTAAACTACCAATGCCTAGGTGGTTCCACCGTTTGGAGGCAGTTTATACGTGTGCTGGCTGAAGGGTCCTACCTAACAAGAACTGCACGGAGTCACAGGCGGTAGTGGTAATGAGGGACACAAGCTAAACCTTTCTGTTAATAAAACTCACTTCTAAAGCTTAACTGCAGACCTCCCAACAATGCTTGTCCTTAGGTTGGGATGCACTTCTCAGAAAGGACAGGAAGAATAAATCATCCCTTTATTGGGTATTTATTATATACCAGGCATATAGGTTACCTCACTTAATGTCCACATCTAGGCATCATTATATCCACTTTAATAAAATATTCTAACTGGTTCAAAACTCAAAATGTTGCAAAAGAAGAGACATTAAGAAGTCTTGTTCTCACCTTGTCTCTACTTCTCCCACCCTAAGGGTAAGTGCCTTTGAGGTTGTTTGCATATTCCTTTGGTGCTTATTTATGTAAATATTTTATGTGTTAACTTTTTTGTGACAGAGGATTTTTTTTTTTTTTTTATTTTAAGGATAAAAGGAGGGAAACATTAACAGACATACAACATTTTACAACATATCACAAGCACAATACAGACAATACAGAGTTACAAACAAAGTGGTAGGGAATTAACAATGGTGGTTGTATTACATATTGATATCTTCAAAGTGGCTTCTCATGAAAACAGATATAGACATGCAATACTGGTCAACCAAAGACTCATTGACAGTTTCTTTCAGCATAGAAACAGCAGATAGAAGAACAACCATGTTATCTATCCTGTATATACATACATACAAAATTTTTCCTTCTTTCCCTTCTCTTTTCCCACATCCCAGAAGCCCTTTACTCTTCGGTGGTTTCCTATCATTTCACAGTGTCTATCATACCTCCGAGTTTAACTTAACTCGTGACAGAGGATTGAACCCAGGGCCTCTGTGCTAATCTACAAGGGTGATCAAAAAACTACAAAAATGTTTGAATTTTAAAAGTTTATTACAGTCAAAGACACATTATTATGAATCCCCTCAAAATACTCCCCTACTTCCTTAAAACACACTTTTTTCATTATTTTCGCCCCTTTTGATATAGCTCTGGAAGTCATCTTTTGTGAGTCTCTTTGTGATGTGGATAAAAAAAATACAGTTAACGCTGCTGCTAAGTACTGTCCAATGGAAAGGCAAGCTTGCACTCACTGGATCTGGCACTGTGCAACTTCTGGCTCTCCCCCAAAGTCCAAATGACCATGAAAAGTAAATGTTTTGAACTGATTAAGGACATCAAGGCAGCCACAACAGTGCAACTAAAGACATCGATGTAAAAGGATTTTTAGAACTGCTTCAAAAAGTGCCAAGAACAATGGGATAAATATATTCAAAGCGGGCCGGAATATTTTTGAGTGAGATTAATGACAATGTCTTATTGTAAAAAACTTTTAAAAATGTAAACACACATCGTATTTTTCACTTACACTTTGTACACCCTCAGTCCTTTGTTTTTTCTTTTGAGACACAGTCTTGCTACATTGCTGACTTGCCCAGGTTAGGCTCAAACTTGCAATGCTCCTGTTTAGTCTCCCACAATGTTGAGATTATAGGTGTGTGTCTACCTTATTTATTGACTTTCTTACACAAAGGACACTAGACACCCCCATTTAAATATGCGCTGGCGTGGTAGCACATACCTGTAATCCCAGCACTTGGGAGGCTGAAGCAAGAGGATCATTCCGAGTTCAAGACCAGCCTGGGCTACAAAGTGAGCTCAAGGCCAGCCTGAACTGCATGGTGAGACCCTGTCTCACTGTCTCAAGAAAAGACAAAAAAAAAAAATTTTAAAATATGTGCTGAAGATCTATTCATGTTAGTTTATAGACAACCTTTATAGCTAGATAGTATGCTACAGTATGGGTTGACTATTTAACCAGTTGCCTATTGATAGATAGGAGGGTTGTTTTCAATAATTTGCCATTATGAACAATGCTGCCATTTTAATTTGGAACATATTATACGTTACCCTTAGTTTTCCATCTTCCAAGTTCTTTCCTAGGTACCTACCAGGTATTCAAGGAGAACCTTATTAATAATGCAACCATTGCTATCATCTCTAAACACTAAAATTAAATTCCCACAGAAATTTCTGAGGGGACGTAGGGACGGAAGGAGGAGGGAAGGAAAAAGAATTAAAATGTGTTATGCACATGTACCAACTCCGCATGATGAATGTAATTATTATATACTGCAAACACATACAAATTAAAATTTTTTATGAAAGGAATTTCTGAAGTGGTCCTCCACAAGAGCACTTCTACTATTTGTAGCACTTTACTTAAAGCCTAAAACAGCACTTGGAATTGTGGCATAGATTTAAATGAATAATTTTGTCTGAGTCATCCATAGATTGTTCTAGAAAGTCTCTATCCACTCCCTCGAGGCATTATTAACAGTCACTGTGTGCAGAGGCAGCACAGTCTTTCAAACTGCATTTTATTCCATGTCACCAGGATGAAGCAAAATCTGAACGAGTATCGTAAGAGGCAGAGATGGTAAAAACACTTGCCAAGGCAAAAGTTTGTCACATTCTATTTGTCATTTCACCCTAAGGAATACTAATTTGCTGGTGAAAGCAAGATATGGACATTTGTTCTGTTTTTTGAAATACTGACATACAAATGTTCCTGTTAGGATGGACAGAGATTCTTATACTCTTGTGTAATTTAAGCCATTATTTCTCATTGTCAGGTGGTAGTAAGTAAAACAAACAAAGAAGGATCCAGTTTAAACATGTCAGTAAGGTGAAAAGTAAAAAGTATCAAACTAGTTAACGAATTAATAGCATTTTCCTTAGAGAAATAACTCCAAGTATTGATCACCTAAATTTTTTAGCCTCAATTCAAATAAAAATTCTCCCAGCGAACACTCATCCATGAACTCACCAACAGAAATGGTTTGATACAGTGATGAATACTGTGCCCCAATGATCCAGTCACCTTCTAAAAGCCCACCTCTGAACACATGTGACTTTGGGGGACACTTTAGATCTAAACCGCAACACTCTTTGACAAGGAGAGAGGCAAGAATGTTTAACCCACAAAGAGGAACCTCCAAGTTCAGGTTTATGAGGTTATGGGAAAGAGAGTAGAGAAGAATACAGAACTCAAAAGAGAGCTTATAGACCCACATCTTTGAGTGAGATTCGTTTTTCAGCTTTATTCAAATGATAGCCAAAATGTTTCGAATTAAACTGAAATATACCAAACATAGACCAATACAATTTTTCCTAAATAAATATAACAATTAAAATACTTTCTGTATGTGGTACCTGACTTGAAGTTGTTTTTTTTTACCTTGTGCTTTTTCAGTACATCCAGATCATGAGCGGCATCTTGTGACCCTATGAGAAATAAATCATATCGCCTTGAACATAAATATAATCATCCTGACTTTTTACATAAATTTGAGCAACAACTCTGTTAGCTACTCTTTAAAAGAAAAAAGAAAAAAAAACATGGAAGGACTTCAGATCAATTTTCTGAAGGCCCATTTGGTAATATTCACTATAAAATATTTACCTTCCACAATACATATTCTTTGACTTTTCCACTTCTAAGAATTTGTCCTAAAGTTTATAGATGTTGCAGTGGTTCCTACAAGGATGTTCATTATAGTATTATTCATGATACTAAATAAAAACAAACAAAAGCCAACCAACTAAACAAAAAACTGTAAAAAACTAATAATAGGGGCTGGATTAAATGAAAGATGGTATGATTGTGTACTGAAATACATACAGCCATAAGCACCATTAGAAATAAGAAGTGAAGACTATTTATGGCATTGATACATATTCTCAGAATATTAGGTAGCAAAGGTAGGTTACAAAACACTATCAGACATTTTTATAAAAATCAAGTACATGTATAAGTTTCAAAGCAGCAGAGAGTGTACAGAACAAAATGTTAGTGCAGTTACAGCTAATTTTTTTCCTTCTTTGTATTCAAGTGAATTTTTTACAATAGACACCTTTTCTCTTTATTATAGAACGGTATTAAGAAAATCAGACACCCACAGAAAGCACTTAGCACCAGCTGGTTTGGGAACACCTAGTAGCGCAAGGTCTGGAGGACGCACCCACGCTCCAGGTCCCACTGCAGCTGTGCCGGTTCAGTCTCTTTCCGCTTTCTCCCGCACTTGGAAATTAGTTCGAGTGAATGAGCAAATTCACTTGGGAGAACAACTAATTCAGATAAAGGAAGTTTCACTTTTGAAAAAATGGGGCACTTGTATTTAAAGATTGCAAGCATTTTATATCCCTGAATTACTTTACATTTGCATGCGCAGTGCTTTTCTCACCTTCCTTATCAGGCAAATCAGCCAGTTTTTATTATCTGATTTTAGGTAGCTGTGGGTGCAGCAGAACAACTTGATCGTTATTCTTAATACCAAGCTCACAGGCTTCTGACTGAGCCCACACTCAGCTTTATTCTATTTAAAATTTGGTCTAAACCAGGCGTAGTGGTGCACGCCTATAATCCCACCTCTCAGGACACCGAGGCAAGAGTTCCAGGCCTTAAGTTTGATCTCTACAAGTTCGAGGCCAGCCTGGGCTACACAGTGAGACCTTGTCTAAAAAGAAAATGTTTTTCAGTCTATCAAAATCTTAGCATTTTTTAAAACTATGATATTCTCTGTAATTTTCTAAACATCTGAAATACTTCATAACCAAAAAAAATTTCTCACTTAATGTACAAGTCACTATTTTCATAATCATAAAAAGAAATCAAGAAAAGTTATTACATTACTGCCAAGGAAAATAAATGACCTTTTAAAGAAATGTTTTATGTGAAAAAAATTTTAATACTGAACATTCATCAATGGATGAAAATAGGAGTATTAATTACTCTGAGAATTAATAACATTCCTGAAAGACTTACATAATAAAGAGGTATAGGAATTTAAAGTATTATTTGCCTCCCATGAATACTGGGTTTTTAGATCTCAAAAATATAAATGTTAAGAAGTATCTCAAACATTTCACCAGGAATTGGCGAGTTCAAAATGTTACCATTTTAGACTCTTTTGTTTTTTGATGTTTCTGGGGACTGAAATCAGGGGAACTCTACCATTAGCCATCTACACCCCTTTTTATTGAGTCGGGGCCTTGCTAAATTGCCCAGCTGGCTTTACAATTCTCCTGCCTCAGCCTCCTCAGTAGCTGGGATTACAGCCATTTTGCCACCAAGTCTAGCTCATGTTAGACTGTTTTTGTTTTGTTTTGTTTTTAAGATAGGGTCTTGCTATGTAGTTCTGGCTGGCCTTGAACTCACTCTGTAGCCCAAACTGACCTCAAACTCATGTCCATCCTCCTGCCTCAGCCAGGCATGCACTACCACGCCCAGGAGGACTTCTTAATTGAATAGGTGTAGTAATTAAAAAGCTCACCTCTTAACAATCCAGAAAAAAAATGAAAATTTCTACTTATGGTTCAAAGCCATATGTAAGGTTTTTTTCTTTGTGCTTATACTCACTTTATTTTTCCAGTGAAATAATAATTTGTTACACAAAAATAATGAATTGAGAAGGATAATTTAATGGTAGGATTTTTTAGAAATTTTTATGTTCCACTTTCTTTTATTTCCACACTTTCTTTCTCCCTTTTTTTATTAGTGCTTACTTGTTGTACACAGTAGTGAGTTTCATTTTAGCAGACTGCTGCACGCACATGACCTACTTTAGTCTATGTCCCCACCACCTCCCCCTCCCTAGTTTCACATGTTGGGAGGGGGGGGGTGGTGGTGTTAATGTGTACAATGTATTTTGATCATATGCCCAGATTTTTAAAGTGGCACTAGGACTTCAACCCAGGACCTCTTGCGCTGAGCAACATCCCCACCCAATTCCCTTTTTAACATTTTTTATTTTGAGACAGGGTCTTACCAAATCATTAAGTACCTCAGGCTAGGCTCAAACTTGTGTTCCTAGCTCACTAGAGATTATAAACTAACTGCAAACAAGCAAGTACATTTCATAGCTCTATTTTCTTTATACTCCACCAAAAATAAAAGTTGTTTGGTGTACAGTACTGGGAAATAGCCCAGACGCTTTGGCATGGGAGGAAGGTGCTCTTAGAATTAACCTTGAAACATCCTAAGTTTTCCAGACAGAAACAAATCTGTACACAAACAACCCCTGCATCATTCACGAGAAAGAACTTTAGGAAGAATGTTTGTAATTAGGCAGAAAAAAGTCCATCTTCTTTCAGAAGAAGGAAGGTTTTGCCAGATGAAAGTACCCCAAGGACTCTTCCAATCTGAGAACATTACCTTGATCAGTTCACTTTGGATAAATTGACAGAAGGAAATAACAAAGTTTCTGAGTACTCTGAATTAGTGAATAATACATACCAATTTTACCATAATTATTTTAAACCATTATAACTACAATGGAAGCCAAATAACTGGGAAAAAATGTACCTAGACATATTTTCTCTCCTTTTTCCCTGGGCTGCAAAAACTAGTTGGAGACCTTTATTCAGTGATCTTTTTTTTCAGTACTAGGGATTGAATCCAGGGAGCACTAAGATACATCCCCATACCTTTTTATTTTTTATTTTGAAACAAAATCTAGCTAAATTGTCCAGGCTGGCCTCAATTGAATTTGTGATCCTCCTGCCTCAGCCTCCTGAGTAGCTGGGATTACAGATGTGCACCAGCACATCTGGCCTAGTAAGTAACAATTCATAAGATGCTTAATACAATAGTTTATATAGATGCTGTGATTGATTTCTGTAAATGAAAACAACTTTTACATCAGTGTCAACACAACCCCACAAGTACAGTCTTTTTAAATGGCCAGAGAGGACAAATGATTTGCACGTGCTAATCTAGGGGGTTAGAGGGAGAGTGCAGTGGAAAATTTGGTCCAATCTGAAACAGTTTAGTGTGACAAACAGCAGGGGTCCATGGGCTTGAGGCCCAGCTCTATTATTTACCAGGTGTGCGGCCTTGGGTAAATTACTTCCCCAGGCTTACATCCCAGTTCCCATTTGCGAATGGAGCTGATGACCTCCTTTTGCGCTTTTCATGGAGTACCAGGGTATTTATGACCCCAGTTCACTGTTCTTTCTACTCAGGGAGACCTTGGGTGCATAAATAGTGGCAAGCCACTTAACCTCCCCAGTTCTTAAGTTCTCCATTCATAAAGGAAAAATCAGTCAAACCCATTCTTTTTTTTTTTTTTTTTTTTTTTTTTCAAACCCATTCTTGACAAGTTAACAAGTTAGGACTTTCACAACTTTGCTTCTTTGTGCTTTGTGCTGGCTGTGCTTGTACAGGGCAGGGATTCAGTATTTCCAGACAACAAAAAATCGTAAAACATCACACTCAGATATAAAAGAAAAGTCTTCCTTCAAAACACTCCAAACACAGACACCAAGTGCAGATTTGGCCACGGCAGGCCGGTACGGTATTCTACATGGTTCCCCACAGCTGCGCAGGCGAACAAGCTCCCAGCTGCAAACATCAGCCTTTCTACAGTTTTGCCTTTGTTTGTCGTGTTGCCTGACAAAAGCATTCGTAATTAAAAGAAAAGAAAAAGCCATGGGCCTTTATAATGCAAGAAAACACAAGAGCCACCTGTCATCCTCCAGAGATGTTAAAAAAGGAGGGAAAGAAAGCTTTGCTAAAATCCAAATACCGTCGGGAGTAATGGCGCACGCCTGTCATCCCAGCACTCAGGAGGCTGAGGCAGGAGGATCGTTGCGAGTTCGAGACCAGCCTGGGCTACAAAGTGAGCTCAAGGCCGGCCTGAGCTGCAGGGCGAGACCCTGTCTCAGAAAGAAAAAAAAAAAAAAAAAAATCCAAATACCAGGTGTTGAGGGCCACTAGAAGCCACGCTGCTATGGATTTAGCGTGGGAGCAAAAACGTTGCTCTCTGCTTAGAGAAAGTTCCGCCTCCAGAAGGCGGCAGCCTGGCGGGCCCAGGCGGGGCTACGGGCAGGCAGGAGGCGACACGGGCAGGCAGGGGGGTGACCGGCCAGGCGAGGTACTCACCCAGGAGCAACCAAGGCTTGACCACGCCAACCTGCAGGTCTGCGCTAAGGTCCTGCACATAACCACAGCCACCCCCGCCGCTCGGCTCTACTTCTTCCACCACATGCATGCCGGCCTCTTTCCACGTCTCCAGGATTTTCCTTCCACTCAGCGTGGTCACCCTGGTGCATTGCTTCCTGAGGTTACTCCGGGAGAACGCTCTGATCTCCTGGTTCAGGGAGTGCATTACATGAGCAGTGGCTGGGAACAAACACAGGCAAACCCAGATAGCTGGGCGGTGCTGAACTGCTGGTGCCTTGTGGTTCAGGGAACAAGGTAGCCTCTCGCGCGCTCGGCCGTGCAGGTGACAAACGAGGCCACCTGGCGGGACCCGAGACCCAGCTGCGCTTTCCCGGCGCCGCACTGTAAGGCGAGCTTTGATTGGTCGCTGAGACGCCGGCGTCGATTGGCTGCCGGTTCTTCTTCCTGTTGGCGGAAATCTCCGTTTTCCATGCAATCTGTCTTCTGCTGGGGAGTTTTCATGTTGTTGCTCTTTCAATCCATCTTAGTTATACACATAGAATGGTAAATTTTAAGAAGAATTGGAGAAGGGCCGATGTCTCCTGGCCCTTTGAAGGCCATGATTGCTGTCAATCATGGTAGTGATCTGGGATCCTGCGTATCCTCCGGCTTTGGAGCCGCCGCGAGGTGGAGCGTGCACAGCGCCTCCGCCTGAGCTGGGGCCTGGCAGCTGATGGGCAGAGTTTTTTCTCATTGCCTGTGTCTGTCTTACTCTCTCCTATCACTGCCAGCAGGGACATCTAGAAGATGAAACGTATGCATATTTGTGAGACAACGATTTAAATAAAATCTGAAAATGACATTCGATTTTTCAAATTTGTTTTCCTGTGTAGATTAGCAATTAGAATTTTCTTTCCGCCCATATTTTGGCCTGCTGAAGGATCATGCAGAAAAGTTAGCGCGGTAAACCTGCGCGCTTTTTACTGAAAGCACCGCAGCAAGTCCATCCACAGAGTTGATAAAAATTAAGTGTAAAAATATCCAAATTAACAAAACAGTAGAATGATGATTCAGATTGCAAAAGGATTCTTTGCTTTGCAAAAGAAACCACACGATCCTTTGAGTTTCCCTAACCTTTATTAAAATAAAAATGGATTTAGATACACGAATGAATCCGGTATAAAGTGAAGACGTTGCATTTATGAACACTTTTTCTCTAACACCACATAGTGGAATTTTCCATTGTCGTTGAAACTTCCTGGCACAAAGTTAAACTGCTTTAGGCTGTTTGTGGCCCATCAAGATGTGTGTGTTGAGAGTAGAACTCCCAATATTACAGTGTTTGGGTCCTTTTGGGAGGTAATTCTGGTTAGATTAGGCCATAAAGTACGGGTACTCTCGATGGAATTAGTAGCTTCTAGAGAACAGGAAGACATCTTTCCCCAGCTCTGCATGCACCAGGGAAAGGCCATGTGAGGACACGGAGGCAAGCACCTGTCTGCAAGCAGGAAGAGAGCCCTCACCAGGAACTTTGAATAGGCCAGTGCTTGGTGTTGGGCTTAGTAGCCTCCAGACCATCAGAAATACATTTCTATAGCCACATAGTTTATGGGATTTTGTTATGGCAGCATGAACAGACTGAGATATAAACCAAAAGTTTTCCTCTCAAAAAGAGAATTACTAGCCCAGGTTATCAACAAGGCATTCTAAAATGAACAACTGGAGAGATGATTTGCATCATCTAAACAATCATACATTCACCAAAAACAACTATAAGCACAAATCAATCCATATATTTGTCATAACAATGATCAAAAATAATTATCAACCACTGAGCATTTACTACATGCTAGGCATTGTGCTTATAAGCAATGTTTAGATTCTTAGTGTGTATCCATTAGGCACCTAAAAGTGTTTTAGACATGTTATCCCATTTGACTTCACCACAAGTCTATTATATACATACTGTGGGACATGATGGGTCTAAATTGTGTAGATCTCAAAAAGCAGCTGGAAGTGTTTGGGCTTATAGAATTTATGACCATTGAAGTGGTGTGATCAAATATTAAATACTGAAGAAAATAAGTCTGATGACTTGTTAGGAAGCTAAGGTATAAAGACCTCACAGGGTATAAAGTCTACCAGGTGTAAGAGCCAAAGCAAATTGAATTATGTCAAAGCTCATAAAAAACTCATGATTCAAAAGTCACTTTGAAAAGTTAATAAAGCCAGGGATATGGCTCAGTGGCACAGCACCTGCCTGGCAAATGCAAGGTCCTGAGTTCAATTCCCACTACCACAAAATAAGTTAATAAAGCTATTGAAACAATCAATATAGTATTGAAGAAAAACGTCCATCAAAAATGACATTATCGGGGCTGGGGATTTAGCTCAGCGGCAAAGCGCCTGCCTGGCAAGCGCAAGGTCGTGAGTTCAGTTCCTGGTACCGGAGAAAAACCAAAAAAAAAAAAAAAAAAAAAAAAAAAAAAATGACATTATCTAGTTAGGGAAACTTGGACACTAAGGTTACAAGTGTTAAGCATTGTATTCTTCTAGGAAGGAGCCCGCTTATTTATTTAGTACCTGATACATTGTAAACTTCAATAAACACTTTATGGGATGAAAGTGTGAAAGAAACCAGGACACCTGAGTTGAGTTAAAGTCATTTCTATAGAGGTGATTCATGGGTGAATGAAAAGACATGAACTTCTGAGAGGAGCTGGTCTGGGGAAAACCCAGCAACAGATAATGTCTTGAAGGACAAACTTTAGAGATCTGAAAGTAAGGAACATGGAGATATGGAGAAGTTAGAGGAACCAACTGAAAACCTGGACTGTGGAACCGAAGGATATAGAGTGTCAAAAAACAAACAAAAAAATCCAACAACAGTTGTCCAGTGAGGTAAAAAAAAATTACAGAGAGATCATTGATACAGAGAACCAGCAGAAAGACGACTTGATAATGTAAAATGAGATCAACTGGTTATATTTTATTAAATAGCTTTAGACCGTTCACGTGGTAAGGAGAGTGTTAATTAGAGAGGCTCAAGGGAACTGTTGAACCAGAAGTAGAGGCAGATATAGGCGACATTCACAAATTGCTAGATTGTCAATGACATAGTTTTATCCTTAAAGAATGTTGCCTTCCCTGCCTTCCTCCTGGAATTTATCTTCTTGTGAACATCTTTAATTCTATTAAATGTTACAGTTTTTATATAACCTCTATGTGACATTTTAATTTGAAATAATAAAAGAAACTATGATAAAAGTGCTGTAAAGAATATGAATAATGTGGCATTGTTTGGATAATATGAACTAACTTAATAAAATCCTGGACTATTAAAACGGAAGCAGGATTTAAAGAACTTAAAGACTTAAAAACTTTACAGACATAAAGACTTAAAGAGCAACCCCCTCAAACTCCCCCCTCCTCCCCTGTGGCTATAACTTCTTGTTCTGGCGCAGATAAGATTGGCAACCGTGTCCTGTAAACAGAGTTCATGTCATCTTGTTCTTGCAGGATTCATAAGGCTCTGTCTTCTTTCAGTGCTGTTATTAATTGCTTTGTCTTGCTTCTGCACCCTCGCTTGCCCCCGCCTCCGAGTTTCTAAAGACCAACCCTCTCAGCCAAATGTACAAAACGAGAACTTTTCCCTTGTTCTAAGGCCCAGCGCTTTCAAGATGAATTTGGCTGGATTGATGTGCATCTAAACTCCTGACCATAAATCCTCCTTTTTTCCCATTGGTCTCTCTGATCTCCTGGGTTGTACAAAATTTCTGGCAACCACAAAGGGACTGGAGACAAGAGATTTGCTCTCTCCTTTCCCTGCAGGCCCCAGAGGGCCCGAGCTGTGGGAGTCCTGAGACCTTTGGTGCCACCATTAGACTTCAGCTCAGAGAGGATATTGGTGCTCCCGCAGCCTGGAGACCTCTCCTGTCACTGCAAATGAACCTAAGGAGATTCAAGAAGATTCTGGAACAGCAGTGCACTACAGAACCCAGTAAGGTTTTGGGGCCCAAGGGGGAAAACCAGTCCCGGTTGAATGTAAGAGGAGCCTGATCACCTGGGGGATACATAGTAATCTGATGGTGATTAGGTCAGATGAAACCTACAACCCCAAGTGGAGTGCGGGACAGGCCTGCACCAAGAGCACCTCACAGGCGACTCTTAAACAGCTCATGTGATGGGCCTGCAAAGACAGTGCCAAGTGGAAGACTGGAGTGTCCCACAGAGAGAAGAGCTCATGGAGAGTGTCAGAGCTGTGGGAGGGGCACACAACAGGAGGGGCTAGAAAATCCCACACCAAGATGAAAACAACTGAGAGAGGAAAGGTGTGTGTGTGTGTGTGTGTGTGTGTGTGTGTGTGTGTGTGAGACTCTATAGTCCTCAGATGACCTCCATGCTTTAGAATGCTTGCTACCACTGCCTTGCTGATAAAGGAGGCTGATAAGTTGACTTTGAGACAACAACTGACCCCTGGAGTACCACACTCAGTTATAACCTTAATGGACCAGAGAGGACACCATTGGAGGTCAAATCCGAGGATGACCTGTGGAGGACCACCTAAGTGACTCTCCTTGAAAGAGGAGCAATTGACTCCCTTTTGGCAGAGCCTGACCCTATTTCCATGTAGTGATATGTACAGAGCTGACTAGAACCCTTTCTTTATCCCTTCAGTTGGCTTTCAGCAATGCATATTAGCCTGGTCAAGGTGCTGATGATAACTTTTGGAGATGGCAGGTGTGTTTCCCTGGACCCCTGTTGTTCCCACTAGTGAGCCAGGACGAGGCAGGATATGTGAGCCAATGCTCCTCGTTCTTGATGGGGTTCAAGCCTTGGATAGAGGCTATGATTTCTTGGGGCTTGAAAGATTACACATCAGAGCTGAAGCACTGATCCCAAAACATGAGATACTACCTCAATTGTGTTGCGCATATCCTTCTCTTCATTTAGAGAGGTGATTTCAGGCCTCCTACCTTGCCCAGCTCATGGCATTCACCTATTTCCCATGGTTCTCACAGTCACTCTTCCTCAAGCCACTCCCTTCTTCATGAACAAATAAAACCCAGGTTAAGCCTCGGGTTGAAGCCTTTGTTCCATCATTATGGCTGGACTTAGGACCCCTTGGCTCCCCATAACTACAAATATGCCTTAGTCTTTATTCTCGCCATGGGTTGCACTGAAAGTGGTAGATTGGAATTAACCCACTAAGATAACAATTACTTTTCATGGGATTGCAAATATAAACTTCCTGGGCCATGATGAGGACTGGGAACGGCTCTCTATAATGATCCAGTATCTGGGGCTTTTATGCAGAAATCCTCACATAACTCCGGAGAAAATAAACACCCTTAACTGAACTACCTTGCTCCCAGTGGAACCAGCACACTCCACCCATGCCTGTGCGGTTATACTAAAA